GGTTATCGAGGGCCGAGTTTTCGAGGTTCTACTGTATTTGAAATTCATATGTCAGCTTTCTGTTTTACAGTATTTTTGTTGATTAGATCATACCATTGATTCAATTATAATAAATTACAGATTAATAATTCATTTATTATTATTTAGAAACGAGATTTGTTCAGCCTCAGAATGCTGGATTCCGTCCATTGCCAGGTTTTAGTGCTCGTCCTGTTTCGAACTCTGACTTACCATTTGGAAAATGGAAGTTTTTCAATGAAGAGAAATATGGTAAAATATATAATAATTGTTTTTGGAGTTTTCTTTTTGTAATGGTTAAAATCTGAGTTTTGAATATCATTTTCATAAATTTTAATTAATATAATTTTCAGATCAAGAATGTCCACCACTTTACTTAATAGCCAAGGAGTGTGCTGCTTTAGGGGGAATTATGCCAGAAGGAAATCTAAAAAATATTCTTCTAAGGGCTTGCAATTGGCTAGAAATTTGTTATTCATGTGTAAGTTCTAACTTATTATAATCACACTCTATATTTTTAAATTATAATGCAAACTTAAATATGAAAGTAAAACTTGTGTATCACTGAATGAGAAGACATTGTATTCAGTTTAAAGTGTAGAGTGGTATGCTGTGATTCACGGTAATTTCCGAACAGTCCATTATAGCAAAAACAGTGTTTAAAATTGTAAATGATTATGCCTAAGCTTAATCATCTCAAAACAAATGTTTAATTAAATTATATGGTTACATGAAAATCAATCAAGAGAGAGATATATCTGGCCCCAAATGGCGAATCAGGTTGATATCAGGGCTTTTATTCACATAAAGCTGAAACAGTACAGTGTCAGGCAATTTTTCTTTCCATTGGCAAATCCTCTAAAACTTAATTTTGTTCTCTTTTCATTATTCATTTCTCAACATCACTAAGTTCTGGTTATCATCTTTCTGATCTGCATGTTTAAAAAATAACCTTATCTGGAATTCTTTGCTCTTTCCTTTTCATTTTTACTTATATCTTCTGTATGTATATCTCCATCTCCACTCTCACTGAAGTTATTACCACTGTAGACAGTAAACCAGCAAGACAAAAGAGAAAGAAAAAGAAATCTGTAAATTCTACATAGTATAAATTATAACAAAATATAATATAAAAATATATGGCAACACAGTATATTCAATGTGCTTACTTTTTTGGTATGACTAGAAGAAAATTATTTTTTCATCTGTAGATAAAGTTCTGTCTGAGAATTCTCTTATCCATAATTGCAACTTATACAAAAATGTTTTGGAATTATATTACAATCAGCAGGTTACTAAACTGTCTGAACCATGTCATGGGAAGTACGACAACTGCTATATTTAATTAAACATAATAAATTTTGAATAAACCGAAGGCTTAATTAATAAACAGCTGCACTGTAGTTGTTGAATGTTACAAATTCAAATGTGAAGGAATACTTGAACTCAAACTCTGATTGGAATTTTGATTATAAGTCATAAACAAATATGTTTACTGACTTAGATACAATCTGTACATTTCTATATTCAACGGTTGACTCAACAGTGAGAAAACATTTCTAAATGGACCGTTGAAATTAATGATGTCAGTGCTGTTCCACCATTGAGCTCAACAGTCTCAATGACACAAAAGACCGTTGAGTATTCAATAAACTAACATGGCAGCATTCGTGAAACAAGTAAATTTCACTTATAGAAACTATCGATTTGCTGTTGCTGTGGATGCTGTAATAGCGGACAGATTGATGAACGATCTGTATATGATAAAACATGTGATTGCATGATTATGTTGGATAATTTGGTCAATATTGAAATATTAAGCTTTTTTTCAGAAACACACTACCTCTACAAATTTGTCCAAAATTGATTACAACAGATATTTGGCCCGCTTTAAGTCTTCCTAATGATATATATAAATTCAAGAAATT